GGGTTTTCTTTGCCCGTTAATTATTTCAGACCGATCCATTGGCTGTTGTTTCGCAAGATGGTAAATGAGACCAGTAAGAAACCTGTTCATCCATCCACTTATCATCATCAGCCTTTGTCGATCCACTGCTGTATGAACGCACCTCCTACACTTTCCCACAAACTTTTGTTTTCTGCCATTCTTCTCCATCTTTATCTGACGAACTTCTTCAGCTCATCATGCCATCGACCTGGAGATTTACAGACTGCTTACTCTTTTCCGGAACCGATTCCAATGTCTATTTGATGCAATGATAGGCGGGCAGTTCTTCTTGCCACGTGCCTTGCAAACTCTGCAACTGCGTCGCACATTCACTCTTTATCTATTTCCATCTGCGACTGTTCTGCCCAACGCATATCTTTCCATTCTGCGTTGCGTATTCTCCAGTTTATGAATTGCTTTAATGCACAGGGTCCACGTTTTGCACCCATAGGTTATTACTGAGGCGACACACTGATCGAATACTTTCCATTTCCGGCACTAGGGCAGTTTCCTGGGTAGAATATTTTCGTTCTTCCAGAAGTGTTCCATTCCATTTTTACTACTCTGTTGATTTCCCATTTCAGTTCTCTGTTGCAGAGATGAGCTCGTCAACGATAAACATAGTTTTCATCCATTGACTTACAATCGACTTGTAATCGGTCGCTCGATTACATATTTGTTAAGCACGACTTAATTCTTTTTCTGTTTCATTTTCAGCCCCACTTTTATGCTAGCGTCGTTCACGTCTTGGATTCTTTTTTCGAGATGTTTTGATAATTTTGAGAAAATTACTGTGTCCAAAAACCGCAGGTGGCTTTAGTAGCGATCGTTTTTATTTCCCCTGTTTTTCCAAAGAAGGGTCTTGAAAACCACTTCTAGGGTTGCGGTGAAAAACTTCGGTGATGCGCGTCTCCCTGTTGGACGCACTTTCTATTTGAAACATGTTTCTGTTTACGTGAACTATATATACACCAGCAGTTGCGCTCTTGTAAATTATGCCGATTAAGGATTTTTTCTCGATGCCCTTACTCCTCAAGGATGATCCATCATACTAATTCCACTTCTGACTCCTTTATACTCAAACGATACAGAGCCCAGTTTTTTTTAGTGAAGTCTGTTCGTCGGTACCTTCGTAAAGATCTTTTAGATGATTGGTAACCAATTGATCGGCCTGTAATTCTTAAAAAAATTTATTTTTTGTTTCCGTAGAATAGCTTTACCGTTTCGGTAGTGCAATCGTCCAAAATTTTCAGGCACCAGCGTGACAGCAAGCCTGCCTTGGTATTGATCATGGTCACTTAATTGCCTGATTCCAGGAGTTGCACCGTAACGCCGTCTTCACCAGGAGCCCTTCCTCGCTTCGCCTGTTTTATTGCATGTCGCACTTCATCTTGCAACCTGTCTTTACTTTTGTCAACTTCATTTGTATCTTCAGGTTACTTATCGTGAAAGAATTCCTTATAGCAAGGTCTGGTATGTCTTCATCTTTGTACATTATTCTATAGAAATCGTTCACTCATTTCAGAATCTTTTCCGCGTAACAGTACTGTCTTCTGCTTTATGAGGTTTAATATGTCGCTTCCCGACGTCATCTGCCGATTTAACTTCTTCATTCTTTGATTATCCTATATTGTTTCCTTCACGAATTTGCGGCTGAATGCTCAAATGTCTTCGTTTATTCATTTCTTGTAGGTTTTGCGAAGTTCCACACATTCGATCATGTATTGCTGATCTGTTGCTGTCTTCGTTTCTCTTCTCTCATTTGAGTTCGTTCGTCTACTTTGAAATTTTTCCGTCAACCTTCATAATCGTTTTTTTTTAGAAATATTTTCAGCCGTTCCGGTAACTGCCTTCATTTTATTCAGATACATTGCGCTAATGTTCACGGCTTCTCCTACTTCTTCTTCCTGTATTCCGTGAATGGCATCAAATCTGTTATTTAATTTGAGATGGAACAGCGGGAGCTTCTTCGTTAATGCTCCATTTGAGTATCTGGCATTTC